TAATATATCACCTAAATAAATATGGCGAGTATAGAAATCAACACCCTGTATAACTACTGACCGTGAAAGAGCACTAGCAAAAAAGTGATTGTAAAAAAATCGGGTCAAGCTCAATGCAGTGAGAGTTTAACGAACTACTGTATAATGTCTTTGTTTCGTATTGGAGCAAGCAAAGGCAATTGTAGAGGTTCTACCTGTTAAATTAAGATGAAACGATTGTACATCAAGCTGGTCTGTAGCATCTTCTTCCCACCACTGAAACTCCTATTCATTATTTATCATCATCATTTCAGCCATAGGACGCGGACTATCGTCCACTGCTGAACATAGGCCTCCCCCAATGACTTCCACATCGCACGGTTGGTAGCGACCTGCAACCAGCGCCTTCCTGCTACCTTTATCAGGTCGTCGGTCCACCTTGTGGGTGGACCTCACACGCTGCGTTTTCCGGTACGCGGCCTCCATTCCAGAACCTTGCTGCCCCATAGGCGTCAGTTCTGCGTACTATGTGCCCTGCCCACGAAACTCCTATACAGTCATAAAAGTAAATGTTCTAAATTAGAAATGAGGAGATCCGCAGGAGAACCAAAGTGACCGACATAGCCCGCAGAATCGCTAAAATTAAGTTGCACTGGGCGGAGCAGATCTGATGGCGGATGGGGCAGAAAAGTTCTCGAGCGGCGACCACGGGCCGGAAGACGTAATGTGGGCAGGCCCCCCCTCAGATCATAGAAAGAGAATAGATATGAAGTCGCGCGTAACTGGNCATAGTTTTGAAGATAAGGGCCTTAAAGTGAAGCGCGGCGGAAGGAAACTTGCCCCCCCTCCCCCTGCTACCACAGGGGGGGCTCCCGATGTCTACCGACGGAAATCCACTCAGGAGCACCCAAAGAAACACTGTTGCAAAAATGAGCCTTCTATACCAAAGTGGAGGGGTCTCCATACAAATCATTGCACTAAATTCCCTACTATAGTGAAACACTGTGCCCGTGTGTAGGTACATAGAAGAACGATTCTTATACTATAAAGATAAAGGTACTTAGTTTGTAGGTTGTGAACTGCCTAAGCTTCAGATTTCACTATGCCATTATAATTACTACCTACACTCCTAATTATCGATGGACGCGTATTACCGGCTAACAATCAAAACAACCGTGGGCAGCGATCTAATTATTGTCATGATTAAAACCTAGCATTCAGCGATTACACAATAATTGATGCACAGTCTAGATTGGCATATTTAGGTCATATATCCCAGAACGGACGTTACTAATAAGTCGTCTTTGAGATAAGACCATTTCCAATCTATACCGATTTAAAAATAGATGTTGTTTGTTTGTAACTGTGTCAGTAAGGTCTCTTGAATGTACCGGCGGATTGTTTTTCTTGTTATCTTAAAATATAGAGACAGAAGTAGATAGGTACAGTTACCTAAATTGGTTATGCATTGATGCTCACCTACTAACTTACTTTCTTTTTTCTTGCAAGGAGCGTACTTACTGTGTTACTATTAAGTTTCTTTTGGAACAAACCATTTAGGCATATTTTATTAAATATTTGGACTTTGGTGGTACCACTACCAGTTTTAATTTATATTTATTTGATTTATTTATTATTAAAGATTTATTGTTATTTTAACACAACTTGAATAAATATGAGACCCTTCTCCAACGCAGTGTAAATAAAAGAAATAAGCGAATTTGTTCTAAAATTTTAGATTTTGTGAGCCATTTCCGTTTATTGATTAGGCTACTCGGCTCTTTGTGTATTAGTATGATAATGATGTTTAACTTAGGCACATCACATTTCGTACTACTCAAAACAGTACATACAATCAATGGACTTCAAGTTTATCTGCGTAGATAATGTACAACAAAAACACTAAAATTAGGGTTCAGCGGCAATCCGTTTTTACATACTTACTTACGGATGCTCCTCCATCGCGTTCGGACTTGAGCTTCGCGTTTGATCTCGCTCCAAGTCTTTCGGATTTTCTTCTCCTCGTCTGCTACAGTGCTTGGGGCGACTTACGAATAAATGTTTTTACTTTTACGTCTTTACGCACTATACTTAAGTACCTACACGTCTTCAGAGAATTCAAATCAACACTTAATTTTATATTGTGTTGATACAATCTTAGGTACCTACCTACTTTATTCGGGGTATATTAAAATCACTCAAAGTTTTCTGTGTTGTTCAAATTTGGATTCTGTTACAAAGGCTTTAAAAAGCGAGTGTTTCAGTCCTGAAAATGTGTGAAGTTATCTTATACGTATATAAGTTTATAATATCGCATAGCTTTAGGCAAAATAATGATAGCTTTTAATTATTTGTTGGCAAAAAAGATATTATCGCTCTTCATACAGAATGTTGTTAAAATCAAATTAAACTTCACACAGAGTTCAATCAAATTCGAATCGAAACTTACTTACACACCTGAATATAATTTATTGCGAATGTACAGAACACATGAGTACTGCAAATTGCAAGTCCCAAAATCGCTAAATTACTAGTAAGTCCCGAAATTGGTAAATTACTAGTGTCTCTGTTTTAATTTAAATGTGATATTTTAATTAGAAAGGCTCACAAACGTTGACAAATTCATACGGCTGTAATTACTAAGCTGATTACATATTTTGTGTCCATTCGGTGTACTTAACTGTTTAAATTAATCCCCGTTGAAATGTAGTGGCGCAATTCCTAAAACAAATTAAATTATGTTTGCAGACAGTTATAATCACATAGGTATCAAAATTGAATTCTGTGAATGTTAGTAGTTAATGCTATATTGACAAAACCACCCTTCAGTCTCTATTCACGACAAATGAGCATCGCTCGCCGGGCTAGCGAGAAGATGCATACCTACTTCAACTTTTTATTCTTATTGGAACCCATTGTGGTACAATTCCAGCTACGTGAACTAAACTGTAGCTTTTAACAATATCACGTTATTATGATCTTCTTGCCATTGTACTCGAATTATTACCATTGTTAGCGGTACGAAAACCCTATGAGCGCTATCACGATTGATTTTCTTTTGTCTGTTAAAAACCGCTCGAGGAATTCAACAAGAACTTAAAAAAGTGGAAGTGGCCAATTAAACTCACAGGAAGTTCTTATTTTCTATTTCGTAACTGACCTGAAAATTAACCTTTAACTGGTGACAAGCGGTCTCACAGGCCGGGCGGCGTCAGTGAAACATCGTTTCACCCCCTTCCCCGTACTTCTAATGTTTCACCGCTTCAGTAGCTTCAAGTTTAGTTGTGTCTACACCGTAGATAAGGATATTTGCATCATTCAGCTCCAAATCGGCAAGTTACATCGATGTAAAGTTCAGCAGCGGTCTCTCAGACCGCATGTCACCAGTTACGTGTCATTTTTTTCATACACTTTTTTCGTATTTTTACAGTTTTTACTTGAAATTGATACTTAAATAACTCCAAAAAAGAAGCGTAGGATCATTAGTTGGGAATATAGTGCCATACTTTATGAAACGACTTGAAAATTCGCCAGTTGAAAAATATCCAGAAAAGGAAGACTCAATTGGGTCGGAAGCCGAATATGTTCCTGAAAACATCGTTCTGGAGCAAAGTGACCATGATTCGGAAGCCGAAGAAAGTGTTTTTGAAGATGAAGGACCAATTGACGAGAATCAGTCAGAAAGTGAAAATGACGGTCCACTCTTATGCCAAACAATAAATGTCCTGACAGCCAATAAAAAATACAAAAGTTTCACCACTGCCAGTTTTCTAAAATTATAGGTTATCTATGTGTGATAGGTTTTTTTAAATTGATTATCATTTTAACTATAATAAAAAATACAAATTTTGTTATAATTTGTTGATTTAAATTTCTTATTTGCGATTATCGATGTCATCTCTAGTTTTTTGATTTTTATTACTACATATAATTTAACAGCAAGTTCTACATTAAAAATTATATTTAGAGTTTATTATTTTATTTAAATTTAATTCTTCTATATGCTAATAATCTGTTTTTAAAGATTGTGGTATGCTACCTTACCTAGTTTCTATGCTACAGTCTTGATACGGTAGCGGCCTCTCAGACCGCACGTCACCAGTTACGTTACACAAAAACCATGTCACCAGTTAAAGGTTAAAAATGGAACACATGTTACGAGGTGAAAGGAGGCTCATTTATTCAAAGCCCCATAACCGGCGACAATAAAGATTTAAGCCTGAACCAGATATGACCACGTAAAATTACGTGATGATTCGACAGCAGGTAAGTCACTTTCTTTGTTACATAAATTGCATCGCGAGTTACAATGACAACAGCTTTAGGAGTGTACGCGTAACGTTACGTGTCCAAAACCTCAACGCTGGCACAGGAACACGGACATTAACATGGAAGCCATCGCCTCTGAGCATATGTGTTGAATCTCAACAAACTGTTTCATTTGTCGCCCCATGTGGTCAAGCTTGGGGCCGCTTTGTCACAAATGTTTCGCAGCTCGGACGCAGAGTGAGAAATTGAACCTCTCTGTTTAATTAATCCGGACTGTCGACTAACGAGGTAACGAGCCAGAATATTGCGTATTGTCGTTTGTGATGTGAACCTGAATCATAGAATCAACAATAAACTACTAATGTATCAAAGGGACAAAGGAATTTCACTCGAAAAGCTAACTATTCTTGGTGGAATTAGAGACGGACGTAGCAAGTACCTAATTAACAACTCTTTTTAAAATATAAACACCTAAAAATGCTTGTTATCTAATTCTACAGTTGTAATGGCAGCAAAATATGTAGTGATTTCTCTTGATCACTGACCATGGTATCTCACCATGGTAGATACTCTAAAGTCTTCAGAGGTCGTAATCGTAGTAAAAGTAACTTGCTATAACTTCGTAGTCTGTTAGACTTAGCACAATGTGTAATAAAAAACAAATAAATAATAGAGTGTCAAAAGGAGTTGAGAAGCCCTGGCTAAGGTGTAATAAATGTGATGTCCCTATAAAAGGCATTAAATACCAAATTCATCATCAGTAGTAAGTTGAGTTACGACCATATACTAACAAACTGAACAATATTTAGGTTTAAAGAAGTTCAAAGACAAATCCCAGAATTATCGGGATCAAAACACAATGATCCGACAAGTCACAGTTAGTAAACATAAAATTTTGAGTATTTTTAGATTTAATGGTTTGCCAAAAAAATAAATACAATTTATGGAGCGGTCAGAGTACCTACCTACCACACCTTAAACATACCGTCAGAGTTATTAAAAGTTTCCTGCCTACATTAAAGCATGGAAAATTTTAATATCCTTTGGAAAATGTTGCCGTTCGAGCTGTCATTGTTTCTCTGCGTATTTTGATCTTTTTTTAAGTTTATTTGAAAACTTTTTTGACACGTCATTGATAATCACATCTCTAAGTAATTTATTAAACACTTAATATTTTTCAGTTTTCTATCGCATTGCTGTTATTTTCATGCGCTGCGCAAGAGCAGGGTGCTGAAAATACTACAACTACCACTACAGAAAACAATAATATAACACAGCAGACTAGTACAGAAAATGGCCCCAAGTTGATAGAACAGAACATTTCTGAATTAGATCCAGTCATGTAAGTTAATAATTTAATTTAATAATTTTAATATAAAACGCACTCATGTAGGTATAAAGGCACTCACTGGAATATTTAGTAAAATCTTTGGTATTCAGTTTCAATTTCAACTTATTTGATACCCAAACCTAAAAATGTATTGCAACGCACAAATTCTAGATATTATGACGCTTACAAAGTTATATAGGAAGGTAGCAACGCGATTTACGCCTCTATTGAATTTAGTAATGCTGCCTGCATGTGTCAAAATAATCCTATTCCGTAGACCTATGAATTAATCCCTTCCCAGAAATACGTTGTTTGATATTGTTAAGCTGAACCGACAGCCTAACGTCACCTAATATCATTTGGGACAAACTGGGAACTAACGCACAACGTATTGTGTGTCCAACCTGGAAATCAAACGCGGATACGCGCTAAGCCAATAGAGTACAACAACTTTAACAGCTGAACTAAGAATAAATGTCAAAAATATGTTGTACTAAATACATGAAATTCAGTAAATAATAATTTAGGTACTGGTAGAAAATGCTTTACAGTATTCAGTCAAATATTAGTATTTGTATTTATGCTTACTTATTGCTAAGCAAGTAGATACTTATTGCTAAGCGCATAGTATAAAATCATGTCTAGAACGAGTCAATGATATTCATACAAATAATTTAGAATTTTTTTTCGTATGACTGTACCGATTTTGGCCTGAATATATATTTTTCTATCTTATCTATGAGTAGTTCCAGTTGCCGGAAGAAAAATATTTATTTTTTACGGATCCGGCGACTGGGACCGCGGTCCCAGTTTATTGCGGTCCCAGTCGCCAGAAGCCTCGAAAATTTCATACAGAGAGAAGCTTATCGAATCGTGCACTGTTTTTGGTTGTAATATACAAAATCCCTACTTCCCTACTAATATTTTAATTCGCAAGTAACTCTGTCTGTCTGTTACGCTTTCACGCCTTAACCACTGAACCGATTTTGATGAAATTTGGTATAGACCTATAGTTTGAGAGTTGAGACCAGGAAAAGCGCATAAGATAGTTTTATCTCAGTTTTGAACGGGGACGCGCGAGATAATTTTTTCTGTCACTGACAAAATTTTACGCGGGCGAAGCCGCGGGAAAAAGCTAGTACTTGATAAATTGGATAAATGACGGGCTTAAATGTTAATAATTTTCAATTGATCAAATTAATCCTATGTGATTCAGAAACATTTCTATACAAACAAATCCAGATTAAACTGGTCAAGCGTAGGATATTACTTATGCCGAAATATTATATTGAATTTTGTCAAAGGTTTTAAAACAATAGTTTGATGAGTATTTGCGGGGATTTCGATATTAAATTAACATTGGATGATAGGTACATACCTCAGTTGAATTTATTGGGTTCGATAAACACGAAACACGTTAAGTAGCTTACGTAGATTGTAGGCCCATCATTTCGTACTTAATCCAGGTGACAGTCAGTTTAAGCTATCTTACTTGACGTTACCTGCCTGTCTGTAATAATATTTTGTTAAATATGGTCTATTTATAGATGGACCCAAGTCTATCTAGTATCGTCAGATTTCATCATTACATAATAATCGTAATCGTTGTACAATTTTATGATATTTGTATGTAGGTACTTAAAAAATAAATAACTTAACATCCAAATCATTCAAATTGTAACAGCAATCTCTAATTGTAACTTTAAATAAATCTACATCAATTTCAGAGAACGTTCTTCGCATTTCCACCACCACATCCCTGAGGCTTATTACCACCACCACCAGCCCACGTACCATGGGTTCTGGAAGAAAAAGTTTGTGTGGCGACCTCGGTGGGTGAAAACGTGGCAAGAGAAAAAGATCTACGTAGCAGTATGGAAGAGGATGTGGGGTCCAGCGATGCTCAACGAATGGGTCCCGATCCCCAAACCTCCCCCAGGCTGGGTAAAACATGGCGTAGGCTCATTCGTCGTGCAAACACACCCACACTAATTAGTAATATGAATTTCGAATCATGACGTATTTCTTTAATTAATTGTATTAATTTGTGTATCAGTGTAATTGAAAACCGTTAATTTAATATCTCACATATTGTTAAATATTTTACTGAAAAGGAAGGCACGGATATTTATCGTTTTGTTTACTGAAAACCATAACATTGACACCGCTCGTCTCTAACTTAGGACTAATTACTTAGTCGCAGCGTCCACGGCGTGTCTATTTCCTAAACCAACTAATTGGTTGGGCAGTGTTCACCACGTCTTAGATACTTTGTAAAGCTGTCTAACCGAGTTTCCACTACTTGTGAACTCTGTCTCTTGTCTTTTATTAGCAACTATTTAACAATGCAACTGAAAATAGGATATAGGCAAATCAACTGCGATTTTTATCTAACTACTGCATTTTCATTACTTACTCCGTGTTAGGTTTTATTATATCCACTCTCAGACCATGAGACTTTTTATAATCGAGTCAGTACTTATATCAAGTAGGTATGATTTGTAGGTGCGATTATGTATCTACAGACGCCTAGACGCTAGGAAAATTTGTCACTCTATACAGTTACAGTTAAAAATCTAGGTGTGCCAGAAATACTACATCAAACGAAACCCGCAGATAAACCAAACAAAGCCCTCTGCCAAAAAAAAAGGTTTCGCAAAAGTCGCATCGTGAAATATTTTCTAAAAATGTTGAATTTCGCCCCTTTGCTCCGATGCGTTTCATTTTTGGGGTGCATCTATTTGGATTCGTTTTTTAAAATTTTGTTATCACAGCGAGCTAATTAATGAAGTATTAATTGCTAACAGTAACGAGCTTCAAACTGGTGCATTGCAAGCCTATTAATAGACGACGCATTAAACTTACATCGCATTGATAAGAAATGCACCGCGCAATGCGTTGCAAAATATGTTAGTAAATAAATTCGGTCCCTCGGATCGACTGTCGCGCATCCCTCGTGAGCTGTCAGTATCCCGGGATAATGTAGCTTCTAGCCTCGAGAATAGTGAGATATTTTTAACTGTTACGGTGAAATCACTTTTATCATTGGACCAATCTTTCCAGAGAACCTTCATACAACCTGAAATGTACAGATATACAACTTTAGATGTAAGTTGATTTATTTTTATACTTATCAATAGGCAATAGTGAGACACATTTGGAAACGAGGGCAATAAATAAAATTATTTCGATAATTTATATCATAATAAAAGTAAATAAAAGCTCAATTGTAATTATGTTTTGCTTAAGTCGAAATATTATTTTCTCTGAGCAGAAAGCGATTTATGCATTTTATTTTATTTATGTTGTGGCGAATTATATTTATGATGTTATAAATAAGTGATTTTGATAGGATGTATGAATAAGTTATTTATTAAGCATGAATGTGTACCTACCTACTGAGCAAGGTTATTTTATATTTGACAATAAAATTGTATTAAATATGTTGTATTTCATTCCTCTCTATAATAAGTAATTTTATTCAAATGTGCGTGAATCGTTGGAAAAATACAGATTTATAATGATCTTTTTTCTTTGTCAGTAGGTTTCAACGCTTAAAGGACATCTAAGACAAAAAAGTAAGTGAACCTTTAGTATAGAGCTCGTTTTGTTGTATTTTGTATTATTTTCATACTACGCACTCCTAAGGGCCGCTACACGCTTACTCGGGTCGGCAAAATCTGTCAAAAATCGCCTCTTGATTTAGATTTATTTTAAGGTGTAGTGTAGCTAAGTTAAATACAATTTGTAAATCTAAACGTGTTAAAACACTTATAACAACAGCTTCTGGTCGACTTAGACGTTCAACGATTAGGTACTGACGACCCGAACGTGCTTAGCTGCTTAATGTGTAGCGTCCCTAATGCACTCTATACAACGCATCCCCTAAGTATGTGTGCTCACATGCAAACGTCGTAAACAAGGTCTCAAGGTCATCAGAGATGAGAGCAAATCAACGTCGCAGAAATTAGGCGCACATTCAAGACCTTAGCCTCAGGTATAAAAATTTTTCGATTAATTAGTACTGCGAAGTCAACGGAAACCCTCGTGTGAAAAGTGTTCTCAGATAATTGTGACAAAAATAATTGGAACTTAAAGGTAGGATACCTACACCTCTGAACACCTACCAAGTCATCAACAAAAGTGGTAAGTACTCTACTTAAGTTAAAATCGTTGGTCTACCATCTTTTTTGAAACAGCACATTTCCACTACACTTACTACTTAGTGCCACTACGCGCCAAATATAGAGCTATAGATATGTACATATAATAGAGTTTTCAATGTGTTCATTGCAAGTACGAGCATTAACTCGCAATTGAAACTGTGAATTAGTTATGATTGATTTTAGAGTAGCTCATTTTTTACTGAACAATTGATTTTGCTGTAATTAATGCTTCTCTATTTATTTTTGTTAAATACCTATATCTACCCCTGCGAAGCCGGCTATTTGTAGCTGTAGATAAATAAATACAAAACTTCTAGTGGGTTACACTACACTTAAAAAGCCCTTCTTATCGCCCGATTGGAAGATAAATATTTCGGTCCCTAGCGTGCATCCGTAAGCTTTATGGACTGCGGCGGAATAATTAATTAAATTATCTCAAAGGCTCCTGGTAGTTTAGTATTTTGCAGTTCACATTTTGAATGACCAATGAAACATTTGCTGATGTGAACATTATTAACTACTGTTTTTAGGGTAAAATGCCCGGCCAAATTAATTGAAATTAAGGACTGAGTCCGGCTTTTGTTTTTTTTTTGACCTGGCAAACCTACCTTTAGGAGATTAGGGGTACATTGTTCATTTGTAAGCATTTGTTCTACTTAGATATTTATCGGCCGTTTGGTGTAGTGGTTCGAAACGGACTACTATTCCGGTTGTTGCGGGTTCAATTCCCGCACAGTACAAACATTTGTGTGCATGAACATATTTGTTTGTATTGGACTGGGTGTTTTCTATGTATATTACCTATGTATGTATTTACAAAAAAAAAGTATTTAAGTATGATATACGCTGTCTAGTACCCATAGTACAAGCTTTGCTTAGTTTGGAACTAGAAGCGCAGTGTAAAATGTCCAAGGATATTTATTTATTTATATTTCCAATTAGATCTCCAAGATAGACACTATCTATGTACGAGTAGGCACTCGTATATCATACTAGCTTTCCGCCCGCGGCTTCGCCCGCGTGGAATTTCGTCTGTCACAGAAAAACTTTATCGCGCGCGTCCCTGTTTCAAAAACCGGGATAAAAACTATCCTATGTTCTTTCCCGGGACTCAAACTATCTCTATGCCAAATTTCATCAAAATCGGTTGCGAGGTTTAAGCGGGAAAGCGTAACAGACAGACAGACAGACAGACAGACAGACAGACAGACAGACAGACAGAGTTACTTTCGCATTTATAATATTAATATAGTTGGGATGTGTTAATCTACAATAATATTTACATGACAATAGTTTCCTATTCCGGTACGTGCAATGCATTTTCCTAAGAAGTAATCCAATCCTAAAATAGTTAATCAAAATTCCGCGAAATTTTATACGAGACAGAGATTTGGTCTCTTTGTCCATATTTCAGTTGTGTCATCGTGTGTGTAGCTTGGCCTTCGTTCGTTATTGAATAATCTGCTTTTCACGTTTAGCCAGATTACAAAAGACAAAGGATTCACTGTGTCCTGTAGGTTCTTTACAAGCTATGTTTGCATACAACAGGAGCATGAAAAATAAGTAGACATCAAAGGTCGTTCTAAAATTTATTATGTTGCTGGCAATATGCAACGGATGGATTTAGGTAAAGCGGAATGTAGTCATTTGTGATTTTCATTTTGTTGTAGGTATATTATTTTATTTATCTCATCATCATTTCAGCCATAGGATGTCCACTGCTGAACATAGACCTCCCCAATGATTTCCACAATGGCTGGTTGGTGGCGGCCTGCATCCAGCACCTTCTAGCTACCTTTATGAGGTCGTCGGTCCACCTTGTGGATGGACGTCCTACGCTGCGCTTTCCGGTACGATGATATGATTATGCCGAATTTTAAATCTCAATTTTATTACACTTTGAAAAAAAACTTACTAAGAAGGGTACGAGTACCTATCTATGATTTGATTATCCTTACTTATTGATCCTATAAAGGCGGGCGCAAGCGCAGATGCGTGTGGCGGACGACTGGACGGGGCTTTGTGTACTATCTACGCACACAACGACAATGCGTACCCAACCGGTCTGCGATCGCGATCGAACGTCGAGTCTTTCGGCTTTCGTCATCGTAGTGCGCACTCGCTAAAATAATATTTTGTATATCTGAAAGTAGGGCTTNGGTAGAAATATTGTTCAAGCAAGCGACGGTATGTCTAGATGGATAATCACAAAAAGTTACGTATTTTTTTTGCGGAGCGAAGATCGACATATCTCACCTCCCCAATGGTCGAAGCGTGACTGACGTTAACCGAATAGAATGCTGTGATTGGTTGCTGGTGTTCGGTTTACCGGCAATCTTGTATTATTACTCAAAATTTTAGGTATCTAAAATCGTGTGACCAACGTATTTCGCTTTCTCAATTCAAAATAATTATAAGAAGATTTTTTTTTACTATTGTGTAGAAAGTATATTTAATTACGATGATTTTAGTATATGCTACACACAAATTGAATGAAAATTGTGAATGCAGTAACCAAATGTGTCATTGCAACCGAAGGTGTGACACGATGAGAACGCGAAAAATGACCCCGTTATTTATCGTTTCATGTGATTTTATCGTATTAATTTTGCTTGTATTACGATAAAATTTATTTTGTATGTAGCTAAATAGATATTTTATCATCTGATTTCAAAGTTATTGTTCTAACTTATACGGTTTATGAAGTATTATTGTGTGACCATCAAATTTGAGTGTAAATGAGAAGTACCCAAATGTGAGATATTTCCCCATTGACCCTCCGGACTCATAGAGTATTTCAGTAGCCGACCGATCGCGGTCGCAAATGGTCGTGCGCATGTTTCTTTACAGTCCCGCAAATCCCGCGGGATCCCGCCCCCATAATCCCGCAGCACGCGGGACTAAAAATGATGCGGGATCCCGGAATACCGAGATCTCGGTATTGCGGGATTGGAAGCCCTATCTGAAAGTGTTGTGAATGCTTATACTAAAACGTTTGTTTTTATTTGTATAGAGAACAATAGTGTCTAGACAAACCTAAAAAGGATTTAGGACGCTATTTGGATGAAATATGTAATTGCTCAATAATTAATAATAAATAAATAAAAATAAAAGATTGATGATTTTCAGAGAGCGCTGCTGCCCATTCTCTGTTTGATGTGTTCAATCTTTTAAACTGCGATCTCCAACCCGCCTGCCAAGCGTGGGGATTATGGCAAAACCCTCCACTATAGTGGAGGAGGCTCATACTCGTAGTCCAACAGTGGACTGTAAAGGGCTGTTGATGATGATGATGAAATAAAAATAAAAAAATGTATTCGTATATTTACTGGTCATTGGACATGTTAGACATTGTGTATGTTGTCTGATTATGCAGATTGCCGGTAGCATTTTAAGTAGGTACTCGTATCTAATATTCTTTTCGCTATAATAACTCATGGGTGCATAATCCCTGTGCCACTGCAATACGGTTCAAGACACTGGTTCCCGTTACACTTGTGGATCTTTTGATTCCCAGCACATAGTATCTAAATACAATTCAATTAAAGCAAATGGACGGCCACGGAGTGGTGGAACCCGAATCGCAATACTCGTTTCCTTTCATGTACATTTTAGAAATGTTTTTACGGGTTTGAGGACATAAAGCGTTCATATGCGGTTTAAAATCTAGCATAAAGGCTGTTTACATTTCCATATGAAATTCTGAAAAACCTAATATTCTGCGACAAATTCAAGTAGTAGCAAAAATTCATAATAATAATGTTCTTTATGAACTTTCAAGGAAAACTTAGTTTAAGAGTAATAGTCGTTTAAGTCACGTATTATAAAATTTCTTACGTAATAAAAATTCCTTAAAAGAAAATATTAAATGTGACTTTAGATTAAATACAAATAGGTAATTGTTTCTGAAATATATTGTGTTAAGGATGGACACTACGGAACCCTACATAAGAAAAATTTTTCTTATTTCGATCTTTCTTAACAGCCAAATGACGTCCACTGCTGGACAAAGGCCTCCCCCAAACATTTCACTCATTTACTGGGCTATATTGTAATGATTTGTTTTTTTTTTCAGCTTCCAGATGATTTTTTTAGCGTGGTTGTCCCTAGCCATGCTAGCGGGCACGCTAGCATTTCCCAGCGAGCATATGGTGACACTCTGTGGACGCAACCTGGCAGCCGCCCGTACATTGATCTGTATGGAGAATGACAGCGCTTCCGAAGAACACAGCATCCAGAAGAGAGCCGCCTTTGATGACTTGGAGATCCAGACGTACCAGAAGAGAAGTATGTTTATTACATTAATCGCGCTTCTTTAAAAATGCATGTGCTTTTTTTAGATCATTTTTACTTATTAATTATGTTATTATATGTACCTACCACTGCCGTGTTTTACTGAAACGCGTCACACCTTGCACTATTTTTGTATTATCATTTATGACAGTTACGTATGCGAGCAACAAATATATTACTTTGTGAGAAAATTGTGCTAAGCGTGGCTGAGCGATTTGTTATTTCCATTTTATACATTTACTTGTTGCTAAGATCTGTCACACTTATCATATCAATTTTATTAAAGTGATTTGCCGCGAATGTACTTAGTTTAATAGTTATTATTGCGCATCGAAACCACTGGAAACTTCCTACGTTAGTTAAATTAGCTCATGCTCTATGATGATAGCCGATCCTATCTGTGTGTCTGTCATCCAACCCCTCGTCTGCCGGACTATCAGAACTACACGTTCCAACGGTATAATAATTTAACTGTCCAAATAATATATTCAATACATTTTAAAATAATGAAGTGAATATAATGTTTGTAAATACACAAACCAAGTAGATAACTGGTATTGAACTGTATTGGTTTATTTTAGACCTACATTTGTGTCACGGACAGGTACCGTTCTAATTTAATTTATAAACAACGCACATAACGATAAAACGAGACTGTCTATATATGCCTTACTTCACAGTCATTAACTATTTAAAGTAATACCTACTTGAGGTTACATCATTCCTATTCAACATTTTGTCGATGAATTTTAGTAGCGTTAACAAAAAAAAATTACGACCTTTTGATCTATTTTCTAGATTAAATATGGATAAACATAATCGGGTCCTTTTTGAATGCTGGAGCAACGAAGATACTATACCACCAATTCTCACAAGCACACAGCATTTTCAACTAAAACCACTTTTAAACAAAATTATCAAGAATATCTATGCTGAAGTGGATCTAACAGAAGTAAACCTTATATTATTACCAAAATGCATTACCTGTAAGTATAAATAAATGTTATCCGGGCATCAGAAGAGGTTTAACTTTTATGAGGTGGAAGGCTGACTAGGTACTTGAGATACAGGTGTAATTACCTAGTTCAGGTGTCAGCCCACCATAGCCAATGCTTTAGTGTAAACTTATAGTTTTTGAATGTATTTTCTTTGTATAACGATTATGGTGAGGAATAAACCATAGTATATTAAATTCATTTTTTTACCGCTCCACTCATTATATTTTGTCGTTACTTTGCCATACCATAAGTTACGTAACAAGTAAAATCATTATCAATGTAAGACAATTGAACAATACTTATAAAAGACAGGAGCACTTACTTTTCATAAGACTATTATAGCAATTAATTTGAAGAGGAGAGGTACTTCGGACCTTAGTGCAATGTATAAAAAAAGTAATTTTCTGCGAAACACAGAAAGAACTTGGAAATACAAAATTACTCTTAAATGCGATGCTGTTGGTTCAGTAAAATAGCGATATTTCATTTTATCGAGAGGTTCGAGATTCTGCTAACCGTGGGTAGCATTAAAAGTTAGACGCCTTAACTCGATAGCCTGATAGAGGCGGACAGACTGTCCGGACATGTCCGGTAGACTATGTGATCTGACGTGTATTACCTACCCACAATAACAATGTTTAAACACAATTTCCAGGGCCTATTGTTTCACAACGATGGTCTTTAAACGTTTGGTCTATACTATACTGTGGTCTATTCTATACCAAATAAACGATTACCCAACTATGTTTGATCTAGTTTAATCGTGTCAAATACAAATAGACACAAGTATTTTTTTTACTAAAAGCCGAACATTGTATGTACGTAAAATGCTTATGATCTTATCCTGTACTAGAAATTTTTGTTTCATACTAGCGGCCGCCCACGACTTCGTACGCGTGGATCCCGTTTTACCCCCTTCATCTATCTTACGCGGTTTAGATTTTTTCATATTAAAATTTTTTCCCGCTAACTCCCGTTCCCGTGGGAATTTTGCAATATCCTGTTGTAACTAAGCTTTAAGTTTACTAAGGTACCTGCATACCAAATTTCAAGCGTCTAACTTAAGCGGTTTAGATTTTTCATACAAAAGGATTTTCTCGCTAATTCCTGTTCCGGTGGTAATTTCCTAAGTATACTAAACCTACCCAGGAGTATGAAGAATAATTGTACCAAGTTTCGTTAAAATCCGTCGAGAAGTTTTTGTTTCTATAAGGAACATACAGACGGACAGACAGACAGACAAAAATTTTACTGATTGCATTTTTGGCATCAGTATCGATCACTAATCACCCTCTGATAGTTATTTTGAAAATATACATATTTAATGTACAGAATTGACCTCTCTACAGATTTATTTTAAGTAGGTATAGATAGATAAGTAAATGAAATAATTACTACTCGTATTACTATAATATTACGATTTAAGTAGTACAATAAATACTCGTACGAGTTTTATTTAGCATTCACTCGTGAACTCTACTGTAGACCAACATAATTATTAGTTAACTCTACATTTTCCATGGAAAAACGCAAACGAAGTTGTCTTTTTTTGTTAAAGGTTTAACGGCTTTAAAAGAATAAGGATAAAAGACCTAACGTTATTTTAGTTTTAACTGCTCTGATTTTAAATTGGTGTAATTGGCTCTAAATATAAATTTAGATTTTCTATCAATCATCGATCCTAACTTTCGACTCCTGGTGCAAGGTTTTTAAGATCCCTTTTATGGTGGTGGGGTTCCAGTAACTAGTAAGCCACACATAGGCATTTGATTAATAGATAAATTAAAAATTTTAAAACACCCGACACAAACAAAAACTCTAAAAACTAACAAATAATATTTTAAACCTATTTATTAACCAATCCCGCCCCGACCCGCCGACATAAGTCGTCGATTTTTGACATGATGTCAAGTCAGAAAAAGTACAAGTCGTCGACATTATTTTTTAATAAATAGCCATCGACACCAAGCCCCCGGGGCTTGGTGTAGAGTCCTTATTAACCTGTCTGGCCAGGCCTTTACTTTAGGCCAAATCCTCCATTGGCCTCTGGACAAATTAGAAAGGGTCCTCCTGTAGTGGAGACTTGATGATTAATAATCATGACTGACATAAAAATATATTATTTTCAGGAGGTCTATTCCGCTTCCTAACCAAAGATATAATGTGGCCCAAGTTGTCTATGCGGCGCTCAGATGCGCAGGCGCTGCATCACTTATCCCATAGCGAGGTGCGCGAGAGGCGCTTCGTCGACGCCGACGATCCGGGACTCACCCCACCTAAGGGACTCGTGGACGAGTGCTGCCTCAATCCCTGCAATATGGACCAACTCCGCAGCTACTGCTAGTGGATAAGTCTCCAATCTTTCATGCCGTTCATGACTTTTTGTAACTTTTGTCTGTAATTATTTAGCTTTTTTATGCATTATAAAGAAATATTTATTTTAAAAATAGCCTTTTTTTTACACATCTAGTCGAACTAAGATAGAGACAATAGAGATCTACCCTGAATGATCTCTCCAATAAAACTTTAACTACAGCTCGTAGTGAATGCTCAAAGCGGGATTCGAACCCCCGTATGAAAGCTATGACATGTGTAAGGACGCATAAACCCGTTTTAATCAACCTGTTCCACTGTCAAATAAAATATTTGCGAACAACAAATTAGGTAGGTAGTACTGGTAATTAGAGGTGGGCGCCGATATACAATTGGCCGGCGGCGGCGCGCCGACTTTTTGATTTCGGCGGCGGCGGCGTCGGCGGCGTGACCTTGTTTGACCTTTATTCATTAGGTTCTTTTTTAAATCTGTTTTTTTAGTATCTGTCGTCAAAACTAATCAGGTGATTTGCAGTTGGTTGGGGTTTGACACGGTAGAGCCACTGGAGCAGTGGTTTACCCTAGTAAATTAGCTCTCTTAATCATAGATACTTTGATATTTGGATAGCGGGTTTGGCTGAGATCAGGTTCTCGTGTATTTCCTAAAGGCGAGCGTACCAATGTGCCGATAAAAGTACCATAGGCACATAGTTAATGTTGGATTAGCTGACTGTCGGTCGACCAAAGCTAGATGCCATATTAATATTATGTTCAGATCTGTTTAATTTATATTTATGGTCTTTCTATTTCATCCTACGGTCCAGGTTTTTAATGCAAGTTGATTGTAGCATTGTGTCGAAGTCTAGATTGGCCGGAGGATAAGTTTCACGTCGTATATGATAATATGGTGACACTTCGGGGCTTGCTTACATGCACCACTTGATCAGCCAAGCATTAGTGGCATTTAGAGGACTTTGCAACAGCCTAGTCGCTTTAAGATCACAGTTACATTTGAGGAAGGCCGCAGCTATCTGGTGTCTGGGTTACTTTACTAGTAAATGTTTAGAGTACCGAACCAAGTACAGTGTCCTGGGGTACTCCAGCTCTGCAGCTAAAAAGAGAAGATTTGGTCACGGAGTTTGATTTAAAACTGTCTGTCACTGAGATAAGACTCCATCAGCAGGTAGTAGAAGTGTGCTGGAAGGTACTTTTTAATTTCATAGAGTAGTCCTTAATGCTAAACCCAGCTGAAATTAAGGCGCAGCGAAAGCAGCCGTGCAGGATTCTTTCTTTTTCAAACATTGTACTGATTATGGTTGGTATGATTTATGTCATTTATGGTCGGGTATACTGTATTACATGGGTCATACTTAGACAAGGGAATAAACGAACAAGAATGATCCTTTTCCATAATTTTAACAATACAAATGTCAGATTAATTGAGCGTTAGGAGGAGAATTCGTTAGGCGACTTGCCAACCTTATGGATCATTTCCAAAGTTAAGAGACTTGCGAGGTTCTCACTCAGTATGTCATTGTCAAGACCATGGACTTCATGGTGATCAGCAGATCAAATGCAGGTGCTATACGACGAGGGTCCATTTTGGCTATTTTTTTAGCTTAGCCATCTTTCTTAGCGTTCGTTCGTTCGTTTCAGCCGAAAGACGAGGGACCTACCCACCTTACCTCCCGCAACCTTCACCAAATCGTCTATCCACCTAGTGGGAGGCCTGCCCACGCTACGTCATCCGGCTCGTGGTCGCCACTCAATAAATTTTCTGCCCCAGCGGCCATCAGCTCTACGAGCTATGTGCCCCGCCCACTGCCACTTGATTTTAACGATTCTGCAGGCTGTCAGTCACTTTGGTCTTCCTGCGTCTTTCGTCCTCTCTTAGCGTAGTAAGAATCAATCTTTTACTTGAGGAGGGTAAGCGGAAACATGGCGGTCAACTCCTCAGATAGTCACCTGACTATCTGAGGTATTGTACCTACAAAGATGTCCAGAAGCAGCATATGAAAAGATGCAAAATGGGCCCTCTCAAATCACAATGGGAAGGTTTGGCAACACAGCGTTTAGAATGGCGGGAGATTGTGAAGAGGCGAGTCCGCGAGTTTAAGGACCAGCGCACAACTGAACTCGACGCGAAACCCGATGATCAAATATCAATCCCGTCCATTTACCGCCATTCACTATAATTATATTGGCGGCATGCTCAGATGCTCTAAATGTGTGAGGAGTTTACCGCGAAGATCTGCTATGTAAGCCATCTTCGGGCGCACCAGCGTCGCCAAGACAGCTAAGTCGAAGTGGTCACCATGACCAAAATCGGTCGGATGAATTATCATCAGGCATAGCTGCATGTCTCGGATCAAGTCCAATACTTGATCTTATTTCGTTAAATAAACCTGCTTGTCATGTAGCAAATAGGTCTCAGATTTTTCTTGTCAATTCGCACATATAAGTATTACCGGACCTAATAGGCGGAGAACAGTATGAGGGAGGTACTTTGTTGCCTTCCAGAGGTTGTGGTTCCCATTTGCATTCCGAGATATATTTGCCAATCTCTGTGTGAGTAATTGGCTTAAAGTATAATCCAATAGTGTGGGTTGGGTTGTCTGCCAAACGAAGGCGGCAATTTTTTTATGACAGCAAGAGGGATTGGCGCCTCTCGCGATCAATTATTTACTAGACCAAAAAGCATTGAATAATGTACTGGATTAACTGTTAATAGTTCGCCTTGTGTCCTTGTTGTGGAATAAATTGCAAATAGTTGGTACAGTATCAGTATCGGCGCGCTGACAGCTGGTCGTCGGCGGCGGCGGCGTGAAAAAATTCGCGGCGGCGGCGGCGCGCCGGCGTGGCGCCCACCTCTACTGGTAATTCATACATAGGTATATCCAATCGGTGATCAAATATTATGTTCGAATATTGACCCAAAAAGATTACTCAATTATTTTTAGCAATATTCAAGATTTTAACAATAGCCAATAGTGTCGAATTCACCAAACAAAGTACTTAATTAAAAAAATATTACTTTGAAACGGAATTGCAAAAGGAAAGTGCAGTGTCTTTTTACTGCAGTACAACGCTGTCTGAATGCTTATTAAATAAGCGTCCAAACCAAGCTTCCGATCAAAGTAACTTAGAGCCAAAGCACACGATGCGTTGCGGTTGCGGCAGCGGTGCGACGCGGTGCGGTGTCGCTGTGTCGTCTACATGGAAATATGTAAGTACTACTTAATTTTATTATCTGTGTGTGATGGAAATATCTGTGGCGCGCACGCGAGCGGTGCCATTTCACGCCCCGCGATACGGCGTAGGTAGTAGGTATTTGCGGTGCGGCACCACAACGCAACGTGTGCTTTGGCTCTTAGTTAAATAATTTGGATACAGATATGTGTGGATTAATTTATTATCTGGAAAGTATATGAAAGTAAAGGCTTCCTCGATTCGCTATGATAGAAAAAAACTTACAATACTTTTACTATGTTTTAAGATGAATCTAACAGATCGTTGACGGACTAACTAATACGTAATGGTGTTAAGTTGGGATTGTACTTTGATCTGATGGGCTAATTAATTGTCACACGTAATTAAGGGGCAGATATTCAAATTATCGTAATTGACATTCAACAAATAAGGCTACTGGTGCACTGTATTTTTTCTTCTACTTTTATTCAATCCAGAAGCAGAAGCAGAATTTGTTATAGGTAGTAGTAGGTAATTGTGCTAGTCTATCTAAAATTTAAAATCTGGTATGGTTGTTAACCAGAATTGAATAGAATTATTTTAAATACCTTTAAATCAAAATGCCTATTCATTTTTCAAAACACACAATTTATTTTATTTCATTGGTATTCGCATTTCCTATATAATAATACACCTAGTAACATAACGTAAACTTAAAAATAAAAACAACAACAAAACAAAGCTTCAGTGGGTACAGACTATGACTACCCTTACCATGTTGGACATGAGGGCACGACTACTACTAACACACACAATACATCTTAATACTATCAGTATGGTAACTGCAATCAGTTTTACACCAATTGTTTAAAGCTTCCTATAAGAACGAACATACGTATCTTTGTAATAAAGAAATAGGGCACCCTACTTCTAAGTAGGGTCTACTTCTACGAGAGATTCTTTTGACTGAGTATTTCACAGCACCAGCCTCTCCTAATAAAGAAACAATCGCATTGCCGGCACAAATTTTCGCATGGCATACAAATAGATAATTAATGAAAAAATAGTACCTACGCGTTGTGCCATGAAGCGACTGTTCCTTTACATCGTCGTTGACCAGCAGCAACTATCCAGTCTTGACTTTATGGCAGAAATGCTCTTTCTGACCAAAGACTAAGCATTCAACAAACACACAGGCCATGATCAGATTCAGGTAGTATACGATTTTTTTCATATCAACTTAATACGTAGTATCAATAAATTATTTTGGGAACTGCCATGTCAATTGCTGAGCATTATTTGCTGGCTGGCTTACTTGTGGCTCCGGTTCAACGGCTTTAGCGTCTTTGCTGTCAGTCACGTTGTTATCGCTACGATCCCAACCGTGGGACTCGTGCACATGTTCGTGGTGGTCAGGTGAGGGGAACCATTCAGATATCCATACTGGCCTCCAAATCTTCTTCACGCCCGGTACCCATATATCCTTCCAATCAGGGACCCAGATTTGCTTCCAGGCTTCCTTCCATTCCAATTTCTTGTCAGGTACCCAAATCAGTTTCTTTGAGGGCTTCCAGATTTGTTGCCAGGCTTCTTTCCATACTAATTTCTTGTCATCAATCCAGATTTGTTTCTTTTCAGTTTTCCAGATTTGCTTCCACTCATCTTTCCAGACTAACTTTTTGTCTGGGATCCAAATTTGCTTTTTGCCTGGCTTCCAATATTTCTTCCATACAGGTTTCCACACAAGTCTCTTCCTCCATAGATCGTGAGATGTATATTCCCAACCATCGTGATCTTTACCCAAATACTTTTCTCCAGGAACACCTTCTTTTACCCACTCGGGCACCCAAATCTTCTTCCACGCTGGTACTTGTATGTCTTTCCAACCCGGAACTACGATATCTTTGTAAACAGGAACTGTGATTTTTTTCCAGTCCGGTACTTTCACTTCCTTCCAAGCTGGTACCTTGATGGGTTTCCATTCGGGTTTGTATATTTTTTTCCAGTCAGGAACTTTGATTTCCTTCCACACTGGTATTTTAGTTGGTACCCAAATCGGCTTCCAGATCTTTTTCCATGACGGCTTCCAAATTTGTTTCTTGGCCGGCTTCCAGATCTTTTTCCATCCAGGTTTCCAGATAAGTTTCTTTTTCCAGTAGCCCGGGTCGTGGTGGTCGTGATGATCGTGGTGGTCGTGGTGTTCTTCGATATGGTGATGCTCGTCGACGTGGTGTTCGGCGTGCAAGTCGTGGTGCTCTTCGTGGTGATCGCCGTGGTCGCTCACCTCGTGGTGGTCGCCGTGAGCGTGAAGGCCGTCGTGATCCTGGAACGGGTTCACGAGGTCCTGGGGTGGTGCGGGGTAATCGTACCCGTCACGTCTCTGCGCTGTGGCAGGGTTTTTGGTTGAATCATGTTCCAACTGTTGCTGAGTCTGTTGGTTTTGTTGTATTAACGCCTTGCCCGAAACTAGAGCGATTTGGAAAATTACCGCTAGGGTAACCTGTAACAATGCAAAAAAAAAATGTTATACTTGAAATTGTCTTAAAACATTCGCATGCTTAATATGGGTCGCTTAGCAGGCAAGCGGTCTTAGGCATCCATTTTTCAAAATTCCATTCGCTACGCTAGCTTTCCATACAAAATTTATGAATACCAGGGCAATTTAATGAATACCAACATTAATACAACGTTAATATTATGCTTGCATCAAACTATGTTAATTAAATAACAATGATAAATGAGATAATTGATATAATTAATGATGATATCTGAAACAATTATCTAACTCATGCGCTTATTCGGATCGCACAAATTATACAGCGGTTGTATCACAGCACAGACAATTTATTACGTAAGGTCGTTTAAGCGGATCACAAAAGGAAAGTGCGGACGATCGTGGCCGCGCGAGTGGGAACCGGACCTAGGCAGCTAGTCGCTCCAGGAAGTACCACGGCAGAAGGAATTCACAACATCGCCAGCTCTTTCAACTAACTGAATCAATCGACAGATTCTCGAAGAAACTAGAAAGTGTAATAAACTAAATCTTTTACAACCTTTAAATGTTATGTTACTTGTTGATGGCAATTTAAAAATCGCTCTCATAACCACTCGATCTAGTTGATAAATAAAAATTATTTGCTTTACATAATCAAATAAATGTTATTCTATGTTACCTAATTGGGCATTGATTAGCGTTTAGATAAAGTGTTTTGCTGAATCTCACGCGGATGTGTCGTAATCCTGAGGATGTCACCGATTTCTAAAATTATTTTTATGTTGTAAGGATTCTTGAAATTCGTGACTCGCTTATGTAAACTAACGGGGAAAATTCAGTGTGAAAGTGCATCTGGTTCGTTAGCGTAGTTCACACATGCGGCTAATAATACGAAACGGCACACGTCCGATATTATGCAAGAGTTGCGCAAGCAGTGGACAGGGTGACAATACCCATTGACACCCACAATTGTAATGTCCGTCCTTATAGGCACAAGAGCCGAATAATTCTCTACTTATATGTCTGTAATCGATGCGAATCTATCGCGGACACCGTTCGGACGCCGAATCCGGTCCGGTCTAAAAATAAAATATCTATCGACAGGAACAATTAACGAGCATATTTGGCTTTTTAAATGTAATTGTTTTATGTATTTGTCTACAAACAGACAATATTTTTAAAATTATATTTCTACGTAGCCCTTATTAGATGTTTTGGATGTTATTAATCATAATAATTATGTTAGTAACTAAACTACGTAATTGTTTAAGTATGCCGCGATATTGTTACTACCCTTTTTGACGCATTTATAAATAATAAAATTTATTATTTAATTAATTAATTAATTAATTAATTTATCCTTCCTTATGTAAAGCGTAAAATTTTCAGTGAAATCCTAGGACTAAGAGGGAACCAATCACCTCACTCTTCAATTTTATATCATAAATGCTGTAAGTTGTGAAAATATAAAAAGAAAACGTTTTCTCCTTGAAAATACACTAAAACAAAAAAGTGGCATATGTAGTGTTGATATACATGGCGTCCATTGTTTCGACCAAAACCGGCGTAAAACTTCAGCGGTGCTTTACGCGTCGCTTGCGGCTAACATGTTTCCGTATCAGTTTGCAAAATTGTGTAACTACCACAACCATAACATTGGTATCTTAAACGATGATCATCTTTCTAGATAGCGGTGAAATTCTCAGAACGAAACGGAAAGAAAACGCAATTTGAAAACACTTCTAAAAATACTCTACTTAGTTGAGATATGCCATGCAATTAGAATAAATTGTTAGAACAATAGCGAGAAATTAGTAAGAGTTGAGAGATAGCTTTGAGTCGCGCCTACAAAAAGAATCACTGCCATTGTTATTGACTACTGCTCGAACATGTCACTACTCACTAGGGCGGTTAGGTTTTTCTCGCGGCATGAGATCGTGAAAAACTGACACTCTAATTGAAAATATCCGCATGGAGACGTTGAATAGAAGTTAGTAGTCACTGATTCTATGAATTAGAAAGTATTAATTTTAATTAGAATAAAAAACAACGGGAATAAAAAACAAAAAAAACTTATTCATTGGACTTAGAAATAAAGTATTAAGGTTAAATGGGGCTACTGAAGACAAACAATAAATAATTTAATTCTAAATCAACGATAAAAATAAAAAAGTAAAGAATATTTTTCAAGTAGTTATCATTAATTAAAAATGAAAAATCATTTTTGCGTTTGCTCTATCTGAAATATTTTTTCGAAACTTATTCTGCACAAACTATTTTTATGAATTAAATAAAATTTAAAAAAAATTCTAAATTGCACGATACCCCTAATTTTCCACTTCTTACCGTCAACCGAAAACACAAAAACCGAAAAATTTAGGGAACGATCCCGAATGAATTACTAGGACTGACACTGACCACTTGGCTCCAGAACCCTCGCATGATGGGGCGGGGGACGGCCGTTCCACTAGCTGTCGCCGGAACTGTTTCTACTCTATTATTTTATCTCGGGTTCGCGCTTATATATGAGCGAGCCCACCCTGAGGTGGGGCGTCTGCGCATTCACTTTCGCGACACCCCACGCGCAGCCTCACTCGCAAAGACAACCGTCAGGGTGCGTGGGATGTCCACCCGATATATTCCTGTATTGTCCCGTTTTTTTTAGAACAATAGAAATAGAACCTTCCAGATAATATCGACACCCATTGTTACTAATTATGGTATCACCTTATGTCCTTTTGCTAGGTCAAGACCTCCAGACAGTTATTTATAAACTAACAACCTTTTAGTGTCATGTGTTTTTCCAGAAATAGAAGCTTTCAGACTTGGCTAAGAAAAAAGCAAGCGATCATGGTGAAGTTGAATTCAGCAAACATAATTATTAACAGTAAAATGGATTAATTATAATTTAAACTACCTACTCTAAAATATTAGGTACTACCGTTACCACCTAGCTATATCATGTTGTAAAATTGTCTACTTTCTTATTATAATCTACATAGCAATGCCTACGCGTAATGTAGAAAACGGAATACTAATTAAGATTTTATTACTTTTAGAAGTTTTTATGTAAAATGCAAAAACATTAAAACATTTTAAAATCAGTACCTCTAGGTACCTCTATTACGAAAAACTATATATTATAGCCGCCCTAGGGGGCGCTGTTTAATTTTTCATACAAAATTTTTCGATGACACTTTGAATACGCAAACGAAACGAACTCGAAAGTTTTTCGTACTAGAGGTACAGAGTTGCATCAATTATTTTGTGCCTGGCATCCGTATACAATTATATGTCGATTAATTTAAGGGTCGTATTCCAAAACCTGATTCGAGCCTGTGATTGGTCTCAATTTTAGGATCGAACCAAACAAACCAAAAGCTTCAAATCTAGTTTTGAACGTTATTTTGGAGTACGAGCTCGAGACTCACGAAAAGCCATTTTTAAAAATTGCTTAAATGTATATCCCTCCAGCAATTTCCCTACAACGCTATAAAAGGAGCGGTAGAGCCAATGAAGATGTAGAGATAGGCAGATCAAGTTTTTGTGAACTTTATTGATTGACAGTATCACTCAGTTGACAGGTTTTAAAGGGCTTCGATTGTTAGTGTAGATTGTGAGCTGAGAAATACACTAAATAATGTATTTTGAAATTTATTTATTTAAACTTTTGCAGGCCGCCACCATTGTGGAAATTATTGAGGGAGGCCTATGTTCAGCAGTGGACGGCCTATGGCTGAAATGATAATGATGATGAAACTTTTTCACATAAAAGTGATGTACAGTTGCGGGATCAGTGCCGGGTGGCATTCTCTACCAGTCAATCACGGGTCAAGCAGAGAAACTAATTAAGCATTAACAGTTTGGATAATACTATACCTACTTACATAAGATTATGTACATAAAATAAGTAACATAATAATAGGTCATATTATTTTAATAGACATACACATGTGTGTCTGAGATAAGGAGAAAAAAGAAAAAGTCCTATTCCTTAAAAAGGTTGCGCAAAGCTTTTTTAAAAGTAGAGAGTTGGTTTGCAATTAGGCTGGAAGGCCGTTCCAGAGCCGTACAGCGGAGACTAAGAAAGAGTTGAACATGAAGCCGGTGCTAAGACGAGGGGTGACAAGCTGAAGAGTCTGATATCTGTAAGCGTGACACAAATCGTCTACAGTCACCATTAAAATCTTAATCGAATACTACTTCGCAGGGGGCAGCTCCTGCAGTTTAGATTTTCACGACCAGTTCAAGCACTAAGATCTTAAATTTTAAATGCTTATTCCGTGTACAATTAACTTTATAAGCATGACTAAACAGAATTGAAAATATTGTTGCTTTGATCTGGCCACAAGTTTTAACTATCTATCCTTTATTGATATCATATTATTATGTAGATCGACTTAGTATTGTGACTCTCTTTTTAAATTCCCATATATGCCCAGAGGCACGAAAGCGACCCAACCCAATGGGTACATGTTTTCTTGCGATGCCTATAAAAGAAAATGTAAATATGCCAAATTACATAAATAGGTATCTGAGACCGAAATAGTTCTGGCCATATACAACGTGCTCCTTTTGTTTTCCGGAAATTTTAGGGGTATATTCTATCAATAAAAACTAGTTAAAGTCTTAGGAATATGTGTTTCTAAAAGCATATTTTTGAAGATATTTTTAAGATACCTAGTTGATTTAGATTATAGTATCATCAATCTAGTTTTTTTTTTCAAAATTGTCACCTAGTCTTTTTGTGCAGACTTTTTATTGATAAGTGTATGTAAATTATGAATTATTTCAGTGAAAAATTAAGTTTTTAAATAATTTCGTATGAAAAAATAAGTCGAAAAAAATTGTTGAATTTAACAAAAAATGTAATGCCATTCCATTCTTTGAAGTGGTCTTATTAATGCCCTAGAGTTCCAGGAAATCAAAAAGAGCACGTTGTATGGGTTAAACCTAAGAATAATACCGATTTTATAGAAATCTCGTCTGAGGCAATGCTACGTAAGTTTTCGATTGTAATTGACCTCTACAGATCTTACTTAAAAAGAGAGAAAAAACACAACATAGAATCAAAATCGTCGAACTTGTCTAGAGGTCCTGTTCAGCAATACCAATATCTAGTGTCCATATTACTTTTTGTAAGAAAAATTACATCTCAAACTTCTTCAGTCAAAAGCTCGTGTACCTACTCTCTAGAGCAGTGGCTCCCAAAGTTGTCTGGGCTACGACTCATATCTATTACAAGTTCCCAAACTCGGGACCCACCTATAGGAAATTTCGCTCGCTGCCCAGCGGTTGGATCGGTAGGGTGGTGTGTCGTTCTACAGGCAGGGCCCACTCAATGTTCGCTCGCGACCCACCACTGCACTGGGTCGCGACCCATAGTTTGGGAAAACCTGCTCTAGAGTCCTTAGATGACAATCGCCCACGTAGCACGGATCCGCAGAATCGGATACTGTGTGACATCACTAAAGGTATGTGTCAATTGTTTTTATTTTTTAACTTTTATGGCATATTTTACGCAACATCACAATCAAGTACATATGTTTAAAGTAGGTTTAATGGTTCTTAATTAATTTTACTAATTTATTTATTTCATTAGTTTATCTCTAGATTTATAGATAATAAACCGCCTCTGTGGTCTAGTGGTAAGACCACCTGCTTCAGACGCAGAGGTCCCGGGTTCGATTCCCAGTGGGGGCAGATTTTTCTGTTCGGTTTGGTTGGTGGTAGGGCTTGTTCTAAGCCCGCCTGGCTAGCTACCACCATCTTACCTAAGTCTGTCGCCATAACAACAATGTTAACAGCATTGTTGTGTTCCGGCAGTTAGAAATAAGATAGCCAGTTCCTCCGTGGTTGAGGATTCCGGGTGAAGCTCGCTTCCACCTTCGGCCTGATCGTCACTTACCATCAGGTGAGATACAGGCCAAGAGCTTCCTCGTTGTGGATAAAAAAAATAATAATAATAATCAAACTAGATCTAAAATAAATTGGATTTAGGACTGAAAAAAGTCTTTATAGAGAAATTGTTATTGGAACTTATTGGAAAAAAATAATGTAAACATTAAATTGCTATATTTCACATTTTATTTTTATCCGTAGACGTATTCATTACATACATTAGCTATTGCAAATCGGCCTTAGGGTTAAACTACCTCTTCTTGTTTTGGAGCAAAATAAAACGCGAAAAAAACTGATCTGCGATATTGCACCATTTAAGCTTGTCGATCAGGAGCGTTAATTATGTTGCGAGTGCAAACGCGAAAACATTTTCGTTGGACGAAGACGGAGCGCTCGACCCGATGACAAAAGTGGTTCTTTAGGCTGCCTGCACATGTGTTCGATCTTTTTCATCAACTCATTGATCGTCAAAATCAGGTAAACGTTTATGGACCACCCTTGTTTTTCTAATTAATTACTTCAACCATAATGACGAATAAAATGACATAAATCTAGAAACACAATAATTTCAAAGGAGACAGTAATTGCAAATAAAACTGAGCGACAAAATTCGAGTTTGCCGCCACCTTTTTTAGTATCATTTTTGTAGTTGCTTTGTTTTGATGTAAGAGTCGATTTCCATTCGGGCTGATTCGGGCATCCAGAAAACGAATATTGAAACCAAATCGAATTCTTCGTACAAAACATTGCATAGGGCAATTAGTTCAGTTTAAATCCGCCTATCATATTATGTATTTTTATTGTTGCTTTGTTTTGAATTGATGTCAAAGTCCAGAATCCAGAAAACGAATATCGAAATCAAATTGGATTCTTCCTACAAAAAATTGCACTGGGCATTAAGGGAGTTTATGAACAGACACTTGAAGCAAAAATGTTTGAAATTAACATTTGCTCTAAGTAGGTATGACGTAGGGGTACATTAGAAACTATATTTTTTAAAAGAATTGTAATAACTGCAAACAAAGCACTACTGCTTGCTAAGTACAAAATTATAAAACGCGTAATTTCGTGATAGTTCTTAAAATTATTGTTAGTAATTAATTTACTAGAGAAAAATATCAGCGTATGACATGCCGTAGCACTGTAGAGCATCGGCGTCACTCTCAGGACCGAAGCTTAATTGAATCGGAGCATGTGTGATGAGCGTATTTTGATGAAACATAATCGGGCCGCGGCGAGGAAAATTATAGGTGCCACAACTGTACGAGTTTATTTTGGGTTATTAATTTTTAATACCATCAATAATCGATCTTGCCTACAGGACAGATCCCATCAACGTTGGCTAGTGGAAAAGCCGGTGCATTAAATCGATACATTTTCACCTTCATCTTCGCCGATGCCGGCTAATGGAAAATCACCACAGGCCTCTGACAGGATATCGGCACCGCATCAATTTTATACTAAACTGATAGCTTAAATAGGATCTCTGAAACTGTATCATAACGAACATACGAATCAAATTATTCATTAAATTCAACTGAGACGGTAGGTAACGTTTCAAAGTGATGACGGTTTTTAACCACTAA